CATCTGCCGAAAACACGTGAACCACCTGTGAACACCTACATAGGCCACACGGGAGCGCGGTGCTAGCTCGCTTCGGGTCAAACTGGTCAGCCTCAAACAGCTCCTTGGCCAACTTGTCGGCCGGATGACGCTACATTCACCATATACGGTTGATGATATAAATCCTGCATTAACTTAAGGACCCTAAACTATGGGAATTATGGTATATCCCTTCTTCTGGGTAATGCAGGATTTAAACCATCAACCGTATGGGAGAGTTGGGGATTGCAAGGCTCGACGAAACCGAGATCATCGAGGTTAATCCACGTGTTCACTGCCCAAGGCTCTTCATGGCTGGTGTATTCATGTCCAACGTCAGCAGGTGGACGTGCAGTTGCCGCAGCGACGGCACTGCATGGATTCCATGCATCCAGCCTGCAATCGCGAGCAGCAGTCTCGCATGGCGCAGCGTATCATTTAGCCGCTACATCAACGACTAAACGACCGAAACGACTGATGGCAAACAAGTTGCCAGCGCCGGACTTGTCTAAGATCTCCATGATCCAAGCCACATAGGCTGCTAGTCGCCTGCACCACAAACTAAGTTGAGTAGAATGACGAAACGTGATGTCACCCTAAAGATCTTTGGCGCACGATGCTGCCGGCCTGATCATGGGTAGATGCACCTCCTTTACCTGTGCCAGCCCAGCGACCCGCAGCCGAGGCAGCACAAGCAGGTGGACAGCAGCCTGGGAGTGCTCCCACCTACTCAAAAGATCCTGGGACTTAGTACCTAGGGATATAATTAAGGTAACTGTACCTATGCTCACTTATAACCCAAATTAAGGTACTTATAACCTTACTTTCTAAGTCCCCTGAACCTCCAAGTAAAATATGATCCATGCGCTGCTTTTGCCCTTTGCAACGGGGGCGAACCTTCGGGTAGCCGTCGTAAATGGTGACGAACTCCTGGCGGCACAGAGGAGGAAATTAAGTGCCTTCCAGATGCACATGCCAAGCTACTAACCCCAGATGCACATGCCAAGCTACTAACACCCTCGCAAAGATCTACACATGAGTGGTTGTCAAAATTATGGTCCCTTTTTGGGTCCCTACTATAATACGGCACCTACCCACATACACATCTGCACCTTTTGCAGCCGCATAGGAACCTACAGGAACCTTAACGGAAACAGGAACCTTCCAGAAGCCTTAAAGTAGCCCTAGTAACCTTATCGGGGCCCTGAAAGTAACCCTATGGGAACCTTATGGTAACGTTATAGGAACCTTGTTGCAACCATTTTCGAAGCCTCTCAGAACCTTTTAGGAAGCCTTCGCCACAAACCCTCAACCCTAAACCCTAAAACCCACATAGTAAAACCCCAAACCCTTCAACCCTAAAACCCTGAACCCTAAACCCCTACAACCCTCAACCCTAAACCCCTAGACCCTTAAACCCTTAAACCCTTAAACCCCTAAACCCCAAAACCCCAAAACCCTAAAACCCTAAACCGACTATGAGACCCAGAAAGCCCAATACCCCTTAATTAAGGAATAAACCTGAAACCCCTACCCATCCTCGGTGGAGTGAAGGACGTGAGGCTTCAGACCTTCGTCGCCAGCCTCCCAGCGATCCAGAGCCTTTTCCCAGAGAAGGAAGAGCTGGGAGTTGCGGGCTTTTAGGGTCAAGGTTTAGAGTTTTGGGGTTTAGGGTTTTAAGGCTTAGAGTTTTGGATTTAGGGCAAGGAAGAGATGGGAGTTGCGGGCTTTGGGGCTTTTAGGGCTAGGGTCTAGGATTTAGGGGTGTAGACATCGTTATAAGGAACCTTGTAGTAACCTGTTCGGGGTGTTAGAGATCTACCGAAACGCTAGACCCTAAACCCTTAGGCCCTTAGACTCTAAACCCCGGGCTTGGGTTGAGGTGTCAGGGCATGGATGAGACGGTGTCCTTCTCCAAGATTTCCGTGAAATGACCCGAGCAAGGCAAAGGACCGGGATTCTCCTGGGCTTTTGTTGAGGATGTTACTTTAGGGTTGAGGCTGTAAGCTTTAGGGCTTAGGGTGCCATCAAAAGGAAACCATGCTACTTACCCTATTGAAGTAACGTACACTCATTCCCCGAACTTAAAGCTACCATCATAAGGAAGCCGCATCAAAAAGTTCATATAGATCCCTTTTATGGTAACGTATACCCCAAACCCTAGGACCCTATAGAAGGCCTATAGACCCCCTGTTATGGCAGCTTACACCCACTCCTTAACAAGAGCCCAGCGTCTGTCAGGCGTGGAGGCGCATTGCCTGCACAAAGATCGAATCCCAGAGACTCCAATGCCCCTTAATGAAGGAATATACCTCAAATCGTATTGGGAATCATATTACAATTTAAGGTATCTTCCTTAATTAAGGGGTTTCGGTGTCTCTGGGATCGACGGCGCCATGAGGCGGGTTCAGGGCTTAGGGTTAAAGGCGCAAGAGCTTAGGGTTAAGGGTTTAAGGGCTCAGGGTGGAGGGCCTACGGGCTTAGGATTTCAGGGTTGAGGGGCTTAGGGTTAAGGATTTAGGGGCTTAGGGTTAAGGATTTAAGGGCTTAGGGTTACGGGTTTAAGGGCTTGGGGTTAAGGGCTTAACGGCTTAGGGTTAAGGGTTTAAGGGCTTAGGGTTAAGGGTTTAAGGGCTTAGGGTTAAGGGTTTAAGGGCTTAGGGCTTTAGGGTTTAAGGGCTTAGGGTTGTTTGGGGTTGAGGGTGGTTTTTTTCAAGGGGTTTGGGGTCTAGGGGTTTAAGGGTTGAGGGTTTAGGTACTTATTGTGCGTTGATCCAATTTTGGGGTCCGCAGAGCGACTCTGAAACCGGAACCCCAACACGGGAAGCAAATCTGGTCGCAAGGATGGGAACACAAAGCAGCCCGACAAGTAGTTTGAATGATTGGTGCCGACATTGTGGTTCCGAAAATACGGAGTTTCCGTGGCTCCAAACTCGGCCCGCGGCACGGCCCGTAAACTGGTGACCTTGCTACTGCTGGCATTAAGAAAGCTGCCCGGAAAACGGTCCCAGAAAGGAGGCCGGAAGTCGGATGTTTCGCTTGCCAATCCAATGCCCTGTGGCCGCCCAACCGTTCTCTAGACTAGACCAAAAGCTTGCACGTAGCTTGCCGCGACATGGCCCTACATTGCACAATTTGTCCTTCCCCCAAACACAGAGAGGGGCATGTAAGCTGATTGCATTCTTATAATACTATAGAGGCACGCTATGTTGAAGCCGGAAGCAAGAGCATTTTCTGGACCCAAAATCGTGCCCTCAAAACCACCAACCTTGCACGAGTTACGACACGTACTTGGTGGGACCTGGTGGGTCCGAGCTCTTCTCTACCGTGGGACCCAAATCGGGTTCCGTGGGACCCGGTGGGTCCCAGCTCTTCTCTACGTGGGACCCAAATCGGGTTCGGTGGGACGTGGTGGGACCCGGTGGGTCCCAGCCCTTCTCTACGTGGGACCCTACACCCCGTTTGGGTTTTACAATGCTAATTAGGGTGAGGGGAGGTGCCATGCTTGTCATTTTCACTGCGCTGTAGCATTGTAGTCCAGGTGCACGTCCAGCCGGTGTGTGCAACCATTGAAAGGGAGCCGGGCACAACCAACGTCGACCGTTAAGCAGTTTTTTGTCAGGGTTTTCGGCCCAGTTTGCAGGCCCAGATTCCGGACACCAAGCCAGCTTCGCGATAGACTGCCCTGAATGTAGGACCCTAGACCCTAAACCCTAATTTGGGTAAAGCCCGGGAAAGCTCAGGGCTTGGAGGCGGCCCAGTGCAGAGTTGATGCCTTCAAGAGATTGGTAGAAGCTCTCCAGATCTTCCATGCTCGGCACCTGCTTACTATAGGGTTCCTTTTAAAGGGGTCTATAAACGGATTACTATATGGGGTTTTACGGGGATGTAGTATAGGGGCTTTAATATTCAGAACGGGGCTTTGGGGCCCACTAAACTCTAATTCTACTCAGGAACCCCAAAGATAGTATTGGTATTGATTTAGGCCCTTTCTGGGAGTTTCCAAAAACAGGGGAGCAGCCCTAAATAGTAGGATCCTTCTTATAAGGGCCCCAGAATAAGGTAGCCCTAGTGTCGGAAAGTCTAAACCCTAAACCCTTTATCGAACCTTTACAGATCTCTTTAAGCAACCTAGTATTAGTAATTATTTAGGCCCCTATACTACAGCCCAGTCACAGCAACCACTGCAGCAGGGATTATAGGATCCTTAAGGGAGGGTGGTTCAAGGGGGGAGGGTATAAGGAATCCTTAGGGGACTGTAAGGGAACCTTAGGGAGTACTAGGGAGAATTAGGGATCACTAGGCTAGATACCCCCCTTGGACCCCCCTCCCTTAAGGATACTACAAAGGGATCTGAGGTCTCCACAGCTCGTCTCCGAAAGGGGTTGGTCCAGAACGTCCAAGTCGGTCGTCCTGCTTGGGATGTCCCTTAAATCATACGGTTGATGATATAAATCCTGCATTACCTTAAGCACCCTAGACTATGGGAATTATGGTATATTCCTTATTATGGGTAATGCAGGATTTATACCATCAACCGTATTAGGGATCCCTACTAAAAGCTAAGGTATGTTCCTTAATTAAGGGATATTGGAGTCTCTGGGCTGAATCGGCGGGAATCCGGAAGCACCATAAAAATGGAGGGTTTAGGGTTTAGGGTTTAGTGTCCTGCGAAAACGATGATCAGCAGAGCGACCAGCAAGGCAGATTGCCAGCATTCATGCATCGCTTGATGCCCATGTTGGCACGCTCCGCACGGGCAGTCGCTACTGATCTTCAAAGAGCTGCGAGCAGTCTTAAATTCATCCACGAAGGCAACATAGGGGGGCCTTAATAGTTCGAACAAGGTTTTGAGAATTTTATACTATAGTTGTCATAAGGAACCCCAGAATAATATTCGTAATTATTTAATGAGGAACCCCAGAATAGTATTGGGAATTATTTGGGGGCCCCTGTATCAAGGCAGCAGCTGAGGCTCGCACAGCTCTGCAGGTCACCTGGCCCTTCGCCTTCGCGGTGGCCTGCAGATCAGGTCCAAAATCGCCCGCGTATCCCTTGTCGGCCCATCCCCTTTAAGGGATCCCTGAGGGAATCCTTTTAGGGATCCTTTAAGGCATCCCTTGAGGGATCTTTTGAGGTATCCTTTTAGGGTTGAAGTTCTAACACATCCAGGAGCTCTATGACAGGTCGCCTGCCGCGCCGCTAGCTTTCGCAGCGCAGCCAGGTCCCCGAACCTTGTCCGTCGCACAGCAAGAAGACGGAAATGATTTCGGCTTAGGGTCTACAAGGAGGGGCAGGGGACTCAATAAGTCGTTTACAAGTAGGGTTATAATTGGGGTAACTCCATGTAGGGTACTTATAGCTCTACTTCTAACCTACTTACTAAGTCCCCTCCCCCTCCAAGTAGGATTTTCGGTTTGGGGTTTAGGGGCAGTCTGGGGAGCCTTTTTTTCACTCCCTCCAGGCTTGGACCGCGGCGTTTCCCCATCTCTGAGCAGCACAATGAAGTTGCCATCCTAGGTGAAGTTCAGAAAGCTCTCTTTTCAGCGTGGACTTTACCCTGCCAGGGGGTGCGAGAAATCGCCCCCGCCTTCCAAATTTCGACCTCGCCTTTGAGAATGAAATACACGAAATCGTGGCCGGGCTGGAAGACCTCTCCATCCTCCAGCGAAGCTTAGCGGTTGGCTTCTGAACCGCAGACAAAGGGGGGGGGACGCCTTCAAGATGACTTCTCCATCCTCGAACTTCTTGTCCACCTCCGCACCCACAACTTCGACCATAGGAAGGGCAAGGATTCTTTTGAGGAAACCGCCATGCGCTGGCTCAGTGCGTAGACAAGAGGGATCGGTGCATCCTGACAATGCAGCACGGGAAGGGAACTCAAAGTCACATCAGCAAGATGCCTGGAACATAGGATTCATGGCCAGCAGGCTCGCATCAACCTGGCGAGCATCTACGAGTCCACGGCTGTGCTATTTGAAGGCTGCTGCGGCCCTAGCTGCATGTACACCAACAGGTACAGGGCCATCAGCGATGATGATGCCACGCCCTTTTGCAGGTGAGAGCTCCACCCATGGGAAATCTAAACAGAAATCTGAAACAGTACTACTGCGAGTATGACCGTGCCGATTAGCACTGCCAGGGACTCAACCCACTCAGAGTCATCAGAGCCTCCCGATGACCTTGCATGCTCTGGAGGAAAGATCTGCAGTGTGTAATATCTGTATACTATAGGTTACCATCATCAGGCTTGTTTTTGCGAGAGCTACCGTTAAGGCTCTAAGGCTACAGCTCACTGTTGGGGTCTGTTTATCAAGATTACCCTTTTAAGGGTTACTAGTACTGTATTATGAGCCCTACTCTAAGGTCGGTTCTATGAGGCACTACAAGGGCCGTGTCTTTCAGGAAGCTGCCTCAAAGACAGTAAGGTCAGAGTCAAGGAAGAAAGCTCAGACCTCTCCGTCTCGATTTCGGTTTTCGCCGGCTGCATGAGCAAGTACTCCTCGGTCCAGAAATCTCTTGAGACCCGGAATAGTAGGATTCCGATTTTCAGTACCCCAAACAACAAAAAGTACTATTATTTTCAGAAACCACATAATAGTGGGATTCCTAAACTCAGTACCCCCCAAAGAAGGGTGCTCCTATTGTCAGAAACCATTAGCCGCAAGGCTTCCTCTGGCCTAAATCGACAAGCCGAGGTGCACGGCTCACATCAGTCTGGGGCAAGGATGACAACTCCAGGGAATACCTGCGCGACGTGGGCGAGGCCTCAGACAGAAACGTATCTTTCGCCTAGACTCAGCCATCTCCGCTTTGAGGACGGTTTAGGGTTTAGGGTATCTAAGCCCGGTGCGACGCCCCAACCGATGATCTCCCTTTCGCTTTTCTCCTCCAGCTTCAACTGTTCCAGCTCGGCTGCGCAAGCCTGTGAAATCGCACGAGGCATGATAGCACAGTGGATTTTGGTACGTCGTGCGGAGCGCCTCGACTTCATCCTCACCTGCACAGCGAAGCGCTCACGGCATGCACTGTGCCATGAAATACCATGTGCCTACACCCTAAACCCTAAAGCCTACAACCCTAAACCCTACAACCCTCAACCCTAAACACTGAAACCCTACACCCTTGACCCTGAAACCTTAAGCCGGCCCACCTGCGTTTCCTCTGACGAGCTGCAAGCCTCTGAGCCGTCGAAGCTCGAGCTCTTTCTCCATCCGTCTGTCTCGGGCATCAGCGGCTCTGTTCGACTTCCAGATGATAAAGGCCTAAGAAGCACAGAGCAGCATCCCCCAAATACCGAAGACACTGCAGAAATGCGCCAAATGTGCCCCGCCGAGAAGCATAAGTGCCGAAAATGAGCACAGCTGCGATCAGTGGCTGCCAGATTAGCAGCCGATCGCGTACCTCTGGCAACTCTACGACCGCCTAATCTTCTCCAGACATGCTGTTTGCACAACTTACAACTAAGCTGTAAACCGCAAAACCCCAAACCCTCAACGCCACAAATCCGAAAAACCCTACGCCCAGAACCCTAAACCCTAAACAACAAGCCTCAACCCTTACAAAGTCCCATGGGGGGCACTGAAACAGATGGAACTTCAGGAAGGGCTCGGAGCTGCACCTGGCGGCGGCGACGAGGACCCCAAACTAACTTCAAAGGGTTCCTTCTAAGTCTAGAACTTGCAGAGTATAAAGATGTATAGGGGTTTGGCATTTTAAAGGATCCTTCTAGAACTTGCAGGGTATAAGGATTTACATGGGGCTTGGGATAGGATCATGGGACTTAGTAGTTTAAGGGATTCCTTAGCGGGTCCCTGAAAGGGCTGTTTAAAGGGATCTATGGGGACTTCGGGTAAGCGCTTGAGGTTTGCGGCTTAGGGAACTAGTAACTTCGAGGATTCCTCACAGGGTTGCTTCTAGGGTGTATAAGGGTTTTTGAGGATCATGGGACTAGATAACTAGGGTTAGAAGTTAGGTAAGTTTGCTCATAATCAACTACCTATAACCCCGATTAAGATACTTGTAACCTTGCTTGAAAAGCCCCCCGATCCTCCAAGTCTACCCTGAGCCCTAAACCCTACACTCTGAATCGTAGAACATACCTTCTCTCTTCCTAGTTGACATATTCTGGTGTACGACGATCACCACCATCGGTACCCTCAACCCTCATCCCATGAACCTTTGGGCTACTGATGGAAGCAGCCCTAGACCCCTAAACCCCTAAACCCTCGAACATTAAACCCTCAACCCTCCATAGCCTGCGATCGCGATGACGCGGAAGCAGTGGCAAGTCTTAGCCGGCTGGGACCCGGTGAGGTGAATCCCTTGGCCTGGGCTCTTCAAGAGGCTTGGGGGGGCTTAGCGTTCTTAAAGAGCTCCTTCAAGGGATCCATAGGGTTCCTTACAGGGATCTATGGGGTTTAGGGTCAAGAAAGCCCTGGACTTGCAGGGGCTGGGAGTAGGTTATGAGTAGAGTTATAAGTACCATATAATTCCCTACTTCTAAATGCCTTACCAAGTCTCCTGGCCTTCCAAGTGGGGGTTTCGGATTTCGAGTTTGTGGGGCTTTATCAAGGCTTTCAGGCTTAAGCTGCAGGAGCTAGACTTTAGGGCGTAAGGACTTAAGGCTTGAGCCTTGGGGTTCCGCGTGCAGGGTTTGGCATTTTGGAGTTTCCGAAAATGAGGGGTACCTTATTTTCGGGTCCTTATAATAAGGATCCTACTATTTAGGGGACTATATGGGGATCCCCTATATTTGGGAACTCCCATTTAGAGAGGGAGTAGGGGTTCCGAGACGACCGGTTCAAGCGCACTTGGTCAGAGGGTTCCCAGATGCTTAGTATACATCTACTTATTTATTACGGGTACATCCCACTTCAACCACATGTAACATGTATGTACTAATGACACATCACAACAAGATCCGACGATCGCCTGACGGTGAAAATCTAAATTTCTCAAGGGCCCACACACGCCGGCACTAGTTTTTCTGAATGTCGGAGATCATGAACCCATCATAATGCAATGTATCAGAAATCATAGACCTGCTGGATCGAGGCTGATCCCACAAAGCTGGGTGGCAGGCGGGAAGAAGGCACCACGTCCACCAAAACAGGATTCCTGTGGCGACCCGATGTGGAGGCAGCCATCGCCGGGTAGCCATGTAACGAGGTCACTTGGGACACACGGGCTGATTCATTAGTTGATTCGCCACGGGGATGCTGACAGAGTGAGTCAGCAAGCTAGGCCCTAGGCTGGCTGCGTTGGTTGTCGACTGATGCGTCTGCTGCATGGGTCGAGCCAAGCTTCGGTCATGAGAAAACCCCACTCCAGTGCGCAAAGCATGGCACGCTGCATCTCTCTACATGGGTGGTTGTCAAAATTAGGGTCCCTTTTTGGGTACCATAAATATTAGGTGCCGTATTATAATAGGTACCCGAAAAGGGACCCTAATTTTGACAGCCACCCGCATGGAAGCATCTCGCAACCGCCTTCGGGACGTGCGGGCCGAATCCGATAGCACAGCCAGGCCTCAGGGCTCTGCAAACACCGCCTCGCCCAACCGCCTGCAGTGATCTCCTACGGTTGATGATTTAAATCCTGCATGACCTTAAGGACCCAAATTTATGGGAATTATGGTATATTCCTTGTTATGGGTAATATATTCCTTGTTATGGGTAATGCAGGATTTATATCATCAACCGTCTCCTACCCCTGGTTAGACTCGGACAGGCGTCCGCAAAGGTCTTGAACGGCGACCGTGCCCCTCTCCGGGCCATCCTCAGGAATCAGCAAATACAGGGGCCTTAATTGGAATAGTTTTGGGGCCCTTTATACTATAAAGATAGAACTCCCCAGAATAGTATCGGTAACTATTTAGGCCTCTATACTAAACCTCCATAGTAGCCCTCATCGTAGACCCTTATAGACCCCTTTAGAAAGATTGTTTACTTAGAGGATCATGGGACTTAGTAAGTAGGTTATAACTGGGGTTATAAGTCCCCTAAGTGGTGTTATCCTAATTATAACCTACTTACAACCTTACTTACCAAGTCCCATGAGCCTTCAAGTATAGTATCCATTCTAAGGTCCTCCCAGCTCCCGGTCTCCAACCTTAAACCCTAAACCGTGCTTGGCTCCTTAAAGAGATCTATAGGGCTTCTATAGGGTTCCTTAAAGGGATCTGTGGGGTTCCTTAAAGGGATCTATAGGGTTCCTTAAAGGGATCTGTAAGGTTCCTTAATGGGATCTATGGGCTTTAGGGTTTGGGGTCTACTTGGAGGGCCAGGGGACGTAGTAAGTCGTTTATAAGTAGGGATAGAACTGGAGTAACTCCATGTAGGGTACTTATAACTCTACTTATAACCTGCTTACGAACTCCCCTGCCCCGCCAAGTAAACCCTACAAAACCCTAAGCACTAAACCCCTAAGGTCCTGCGGTCCATTCATCGCCTCGTTGATCGCGGTGAGACGCGTCCTCGCCAACTCGAGCCTGAGAAGCGACTCCCTCAGAAGGCAGAGCTCCGACAGCAGAAACTGCTCTTTTCTGGTTTCTCGTCAAGGGATTTCATTTAAGGTACCATATAGACGCCACATTATTTAAAATATAGATCCCTACCATGGTAATTTTACGTAAATCCCGTAACTCTTTTGTCTGGTTCTTAGTCCAGACAGTCGTGCTAAGGGACTACATTACATGAGATGGCTTCTTTATTATGGTACCTTAAATGAAACCCCTTAACAAGAACCCAGAAAAGAGCACCAGCGCTTCATTTAGAGGCAGACAGGCGCAGGCGGGCATCTGGATACTTGGCCAGTATCGGAACCATCACCTGCTTACGGCACGCTACGGAAGTCCCCGTGGCAAAATGGATAGAAAAGGGGCCTAAATCATTACAAATATTATGTTGGTGAGGTTCGTGATGATAAGGATAGAAGAACGGGCCCCAAAACCCTATTCTAATTATTAAGGCCCCTATATGAAGGTTGTGCAAGCCTGCCGGGACAGCTTCATGCACTGGCACGCCGTGGCAGTCGTGACAGTCGCTGTTCGTCGTTCAAGCCTGGCGGCAATGCAAAACAGCTTTTGAAGGGTCCCTATGAATTCCAAAGTATACAGGGTTTATAATCAGAACCTACAAACATGTAGATAGTCTTAGGAGTCCAGATCATCTTCACCTCATGCACTGCAGTCTCTTTCCATACAAGCTAATGCTGCTAAGGTGCTCGAGGAAACCGACTTTCTCTTGTGTCTTGGAAAGGGTTGCTTGTCTGTAAATCCTTCTCAGAGGCCGTGAGACACCAAACAGCACGACAGCTAGGAGTATCGGGTTTAGGCAGCTTTCGGGGTTTAGTGCTGCGTGTCCATCGTTTTTCCCCTTACAAACCCTGTAAGCCCTAAACCCGAAACCCCAAACCTTGAACCCCAAACCCTGCAAATCCTACAAAACGCTGAACCTAAGACATTTTTGGCTTCGGTTTTGAACTAAGCATTGGACTCTCGTGGCTGAGATCAAAAATCATACTTGGCTAGACTTCCTCGGCCGAAAGCACGTGCACCCCTGCACCAGCGATATTCAGCATAATGAAAGATAGAACAACACGATAAACAATACGATACTATCCCATTATCTTATATTACATCATACTACATCAATACCATATTATATCGTATTGCATGTTATTTGACTTTATTTTGTATTACGTTACATTGGATTGCAGCATCTTGAAATATATTATACTTAGTCGATCTTGGCATTCTACACTTCACAACCTCCAAAAGCTTTCAAGCTCGCAGCTTCGGGTGGAGATGTGCAGCTACGTGCATCAATGCATGCTGGAATGGCAGATCGAGAATGCCGATCTCACCGATCACGTCGTTCTCTATCCTGGCAGCTTCATGCCTATGACATGTAGACCGGAAGAGCTAAGCACAATCATTTACACCAACAGCTCACTACGCACGATCCCCTTCTCCAAACCAAGAACAGGACAACTTTCTTGCACATGTTCGCACTGGCTGCATGGCTTAGTGAAGCTTGCGAAAGCTCCGGGCCTCTGCACAGCTGACATGTGCACCGAAGGTATTCGTGTGACTAGGCTCGGCATCCCTCCAAACTGAAGCCGAGGGGAGGGGGGAGTGGTCCCATCCCAACTCGGAGTCTGCTCCTGTGACACCAAGCCATCCTACGAACTCGGATGGCCGCCTTCCCAAGAACTGCCCACAGGACGAAACCTCGCATGCGCCACCTAAAAGCCGCAGCGGGAGCATGCTTGTCTCTGATGAGCATGGCTCAAGTCACGAAAGACCTAAGCCTCTCACGAAGAAGAATGAACATCTCGTCGCAATTTACATCGCCTTCCTGCCCAAGGAGCTGCGGGCTGCAAAGGGACCAAAAAAGCGGCTCCTCTGAGGCCTCCAAGAGCACCTTCCCAGGTTGATACCAGTAAGTTGACCTCAGTCTTCGGGTCAGGCTGATGCCTTCAAACGCTGCGGTGGCTATAGGGTTGATATAGGGTGTAGTTGCCTTGGGGTCCTTTAGTTGCGAGCTTAAGCAGCGGGATTAGGGTGTAGGGCTGAGGCTTTAGAGATTTGGGTTTGGGGTTTGAGGTTTAGGGTATAAGGATTAGGGTATAGGACTCCTTTCCAGGGCTCTGGCGTGTTCATCGCAAGCTCAGCAACCTCGGTGGGTCAGAGTTCGGCCGCTACGTCTCGAAAAATGGGCTTGTTCTAAATTAAGGGTTCTACAGCAAGGGTTTATATTATGCACTCCATATCAGAAAGGTTCTATATTCAGAGCTTCATACCCAATTACGGTACTTATATCCTTACTTACTAAGTCCCCTGATCCTCTAAGTGGGAGTCTCGAGAGGCCCCGGCGAACTCGTGCATGGACTCGCTGTTGTCCGAGAAGAAGGGCAGCTGCTTCAACGCATCGCATTGCGTCGCCTGAAGAGCGCAAGCCGACTGTGGGCTGAAAACACCTCGCCTGGAAGACTCCGAAATTCTTTAGGTACTCTAGGGCTACTACTAAGGTCCTAAAAGATCTATATTATGAGTATTATTCAGCTATTACTGAGTGGGGGCCCAAGCTGTTCTGCAATAATGACAATAACAATAACCACAATAACAAAAATGGCAACAACAATGTCAATAGCAAAAGTAATACTCACGATACTACTAATAACAGTAGCAAGAATAGTAGCAGTAATAATACTATGCATAAGAACAGCCAAATAATATTCAGCATTCTTGTCCTACTACTAACAAAGGTTGTTACCATTATAATCACAAAAACAACTTACTGGCCTGCTGCTCGAGGTTGATGTCATCCTTTACGTCGATGAGCTTTCCTGGCTGCAGGCTTCTTGATCAGATCGAAACAGAACAGTTCGGCCTCGCCTAGCTCCATCAGCTTGTGCTTCATCTCTCGCTGAAACCTTCAAAAGGTCCCTAAAACCCAAAAGCGTCTGCAGTACACACTGAAACTGCTAGGCTCATTGCGCTCCCAAATGAGCAAAGGTGCCGCGGTGTTCACAGCACGCCCAAGTCGTTGAAAGGCTCATTAAAATAAGTCAATCAGTCCGGAACAATGCTGGGTGCTTACAATAATTGTTATTACTATACACATGTGTATAGAGAGCGAGAGAGAGAGATGTATATATATATATATATATATATTATTTGCAAGCGTGTGACAGCGAATCCACTGACCACTCAGGGGAGCACTTCCGTTTCTCCCAAGGATACTTCCTGGATGACAGCGATTCTGACTTCAGTCCGGACAACCAAAAACATACCTTCTGTTCTGCATGCCAAGACGCTCCAAGATTGAGTGGAAGCTAAAGCGTGAGATGATGGCGACATCGCATCTCCTCAGTGTGCAACACATCTGTGAGACATTCCAAGTAGTGCAACAGCCGAGTACTGTAAGTGCAAGACGCAAGGGATCGGACCGAGGCTGTTCGACGATTGTCCACATTCAGCAAGGCGGTCTTGCCGGGAGGAAAGGGGTTAGGGCTTAGGGTTTAGGGTTTAGGGTTAGGGCTTAGGGTTAGGGCTTAGGCTTTAGGCTTTAGGGTTTAGGGTTTACGGTTTAGGGCGTAGGGTTTAGGGTTTAGTACGACCGACCTGCAGGCGGCAAAAGACAGCCTGCATAGAACCAAAGTGTGCAGGCGCGCGCTTGTTTTCAGCAGTGCACACGCACATCTTCGTCGATCTTCTGCTTGCCCTTAACTCGATGAAACCTCAGTTCCCGGTCCGTGGAGAAGTACTTAAGGGCTCCTTAAAGGGATCTATATAGGGTTCCTTAAAAGGGATCTATATGGGGTTCCTTAAAAAGGGATCTATAGGGTTTAGGGTTTAGGGTTTACTTGGAGGATCATGGGACTTAGCAAGTAAGGTTATGAGTCCCCTAATTGGGGTTATAAGTACTTATAAGTAGTATAATTACCTTGTTTATAACCCTAGTTACGAAGTCCCATGACCCTTTAAGTAAGGTTTCGGGTTGCCCATAAACTCCAAGGTACAGAATCGTCTTGGCAAACGAGCTCGAATAGCTCGAGGGTACGAACAGCGGCGCCTCACTGGCAATGATCATGTCCTGAGTACTCCGAGGTCTCGTGCATCTGGCGCAAATCTGCGAAGTCATATGGGTGGTTGTCAAAATTAGGGTCCCTTTTTGGGTACCCTAAATATTAGGTGCCGTACTATATCAGGGACCCAAAAAGGAACCCTAATTTTGACAACTACTCATATGAGCTCATCAAGATTGCCAGTGCACAAGGGCATAACTTAATATAGCGGCCTTAATGATTAGACTAGGGTTTTGGGGGCACGCTGTACTATGATCATCATAAGGAACCTCCAAAATAGTAGAGGTAATTCTTGAGGCCCCTTTTTGGGGGGGCATGTTTGATTCGAGTGCCCCTCGTTACAGACGAGGCTCGATCAGGGCTCGTTGCCACGGAGCGAACGAAGCGTCCTCGAAGATAAAAATAACAAGAACAATATTTAAAAAAAACACTGATGCGAATATAATAGTAATGCTAGTATTTTTTGCGCAATATCAATAAGTCAGTAAGTACTGATGCTAATATAATAGTAATACGAGCAATCACAACAACAGCAGTATGAACAAGAACGGGGCAACTCCAGGCCGGGAAAGGACATGCAGGTCCTTGAACTGCACAATCTCCATCCCCAACTTCTTTGTCAGCTCTTCGAGATCTGCGGCATCCTGTTTCGTTGTGCAATACGTCGTGATTGTTTCTCGAAGCTAATCCCTAAAACCCGCAATGAGGTATTAGAATCGGTTTTAAAACATAATTGAAATTGAAATCCAGACTTATTTAGCATGACAGTGCCGGCGCCTTGCAGTTCGTGGATAGAAAGGCTCTTCGCACAGTAAGGCCGTGCTTGTCCAACGTGGATAACACCTTGGGCTAAGGTAAGACGCGTCCCGGCACCAGCTGATGCGTGAAGTGTGACTGGTGCGGAACCTCGTCAGCCAACTTCTCCGCATCCTTGTGCATGCTTGTTCCTTCCAAGTATTCAAGTGGTGCTGCAACGGAGGCTCTTGCATCTTGCCTGCTATCAAGGCTTTCCTAGTGTAATATAGGGGCCTTAATAATTAGAATACGGTTTCGGGGTATATTTTACCATAATTATATTAAGGAACCCCGAGATAGTCCAGGTAATTTTTAAGGCGCCTATATTACTCTCCGCCACGGTATTCAAAGCAAGGCTCCATGTCTCCAGTGCACAGCGATGAAGCTTCCATCGTGCATCAGCCTTTCGCGAATGAAACTGCGGGCAGCATCGACCAGCCTTGGCAAACGATGAACCCAGAGACTCCAATATGCCTTAACTAAGGAATATATCTTAAATCATACTAGGGATCCTAGAAAAACTTAATGTATATTCCTGAGGATATTGGTGGAGTCTCTGGAAACGCATGTGAACATCATATCATAGTAAGATATAGCATCGAAAGGCAATGAGATCTTTTCTTAGATCAACCATGAACAGATACAACCTGACGCGTGATACAATACGCAACAATACAATACCACGTAGCATAACATAACAAGGTACAGTATACCATCAGATAACATAATACGATGTACTGCAAGCTAACATAATGTGACAAGATACGCAGCGATATCTGAATATATATTCGATTCATGTATTACAATGCAGTACAGTGCAGCAGAATACAATATAACGCTGATATGTTTTCCTTCCAGACAGCGAAAACAAAAAAATGTAATGGTACGGTTGATGATATAAATCCTGCGTTACCTTAAGGACCCTAAACTATGGGAATTATGGGATATTCCTTACTGTGGGTACTGCAGGATTTATACCATCAACCGTATTACTACGGCTACTTTTGCGAAAAGGAATTAACGCTAAACCCTAAACCCGAAACCCTAAACCCCAAACCCTGAACCCTAAACCCCAAACCCCTCAACCCTAAACCCTAGGCCCTAAACCCTCAACCCTAAACCCTAAAGAATCGGTGCCCGCGATGCACGAGAGAGGAAGCCGGCAGCCGACGGAAGCCAAGCAGCGTGGCGTTGAACGCCATGTCGTAGGGCCACTGCTTCCCACACTCTCCTGCGGTTTAGGGTTCAGGAGTTTAGGGGTTTAGTGGTTTAGGGGTTTAGGGGTTTAGGGTTTAGGGTTCAGGCTTTAGGGTTTAGGTTTTTTTGGTGACTGCTTCCCACACTCTCCTGCAACTCAGCCGAAGGAAAGTGCTTAAAGGATAATGGAACTTAGCAACTAGGCGTACCTTATACTAATGAAATACATGTAGCTTATAACCCCAACTAAGGTGCTTGTAACCTTACTTGCTAAGTCCCCTGATCCTCCAAGTATGGCAGGCCCCACAAAAAGCTTTCGGTCCTAAAGGAATCAGGTCCACTCCTTGGTGGCTGCAAGTCAAGGGCAAGTAGTCTCCAAGCTTCATGGGCAGTCCTCTAAATTCGGGTCCCCTTTAGATCCCCACAATGGAAAACAACGGCACCCTTATAGAAAGGACGCCAAAAGGGACCCTAATTTAGAGAACTACCCCTATAGTAGCCTATAGAAACCCTTCTAAGAACCCTTATAGAGATCCCTGTAAGTAAAGCAGCCTTCTAGAAGCCCTTCTAGGAGCCCTTATAGAGATCCCTTTAAGGAACCCTAAGAAGGGATCCCAAGTTAGAGAACCACATGCCATGGGAACCAAGGGTCGATAGCCGGGGAGCTCCTGATTGTTGCGAGTGTTCAATGCCTCAGTGGCAAGCAGCAAAAGCCCTTGTTGGGGTTTAAGGTTTACGGCTTAGGGTTTGGGGTTTAGGGTTTAGGGCTTAGGGTTTAAGGTTTAGGGTTTAAGGTTTAGGGCTTAGGGTTGAGGGCTTAGGGTTCAGGGTTTAGGGTTTAGGAACTTCAATTCTGGCAATGGCAGTTAGTGGGGAATAGGGTTCCTGTAAGGGCTACTACAAGGGTTCCAAAAAGGGTTATACTCTAGGGGTTTAGGGTTCTTAGCAGGCTGTCTGGTTCTTAGCAGGGAAAGGAGGAAGGGATTATGGGGACCTATGGGGACTATTATTGGGGATTATATAGGGACTACTATAAGGATCCATGCCCCCATCCCCTACAAAGCACCAGAAAGTCAATTCTGGCAATGGCAGGAACTGCCAAAACGATAGGTTCTGGACCAAGCTGCCAGGACCTGCAGGGAGCTCAGTCAGCTTTTGTTCTTCCCCCGCTTTCGTCTTGCCCTTCTTTCGATCACCCTCCTCTTGCGCATGTCTTTCAGGAAATGTTCAACGAGTCGGAAACTGCTGACCCGATGAAGCCTGGACGAGTCCAAGCCTAAACCCTGAACCCTCAGTGACAACTCAAGAACGGTAAGCTCTGCTTCGAACTCGCATCGGAGCCCAACTCCGGAACAAGCTCCCCTCTTGTACTCCTTCCATCGCTATCAACTTCACCTACTCTTGGGGAGAACAAGGCTCATGGGAAGAATCATGTCACGGGCCACTGCAAGGCTCGAAGACAAGCCTAAACCCTAAACCCGAAACCCTAAACCCTTTTCCTGAAACCCTAAACCCGAAACCCTAAACCCTTTTCCTGAAACCCTAAACCCGAAACCCTAAACCCTAAACCACGAAACCTCCGCCTTTGCTCTGAGGCGACTCCCGATGACGCCCCAGGCGGTTTCGATGCACTTCCCCCCTACCCCTCCGGCCCTCGCCTGATGCTTCATGTGATACTAGGGTTTAGGGCCTTTAGGGACGTTCGGGCTTCAGGGTTTAGGGTTTAGGGTTTAGGGTTTAGGGACGTTCGGGCTTCAGGGTTTAGGGTTTAGGGTTTAGGGTTTAGGGACGTTCAGGCTTCAGGGTTTAGGGTTTGGGTTTGTTGCAAACCACCATTCTCCCTGCTGCCCACCTCCACGCAGCAAACCCTGGGAGTCCAGCACCGAAGTTTATGAGAGCTAGCCGAGGCCTCCTCGCGACTCTGCAAGAAGGGTGTCATCATGTCACGAGCTTCCAAGCCTGAAGCTGCAAGGACGGAACCTCGCTAGGGTTTAGGGTTTAGGGTTTAGGGCTGCAGGGCGTGGTGGCCCAACTCGCGCTGAGCCGCGGGCACTTGATTCGCGAGTACCGCCAGTCATCTTCGAAGATGCTCATCCTTCCATCGGGCATCTCCACTGTTTGCCCTGCGTGGCAGTCGATGCCTCAGCTGTCAGCTCGCAAATGCCAGGATCTTGCTCCCTCTACCAGCCAGCGCCCGAACTCCATCCACCGAGCATTCGGCCATGATGATTCTTGGCTTCTCTCGGAGTCATGTAGACCACGTCGATCGTGGTGTTTGCTTGGGTTCGGAAATCCGCGTAGGAAATCCAGGAAGCGTAGTCACCAAACCTTTCCACCACAAGAAACCACTCGATGAATTAGTTACATGACCATTTCGGCGAACATCAGAAACTTTGTCAGGAGCATGCGGTGTATGCTCACTTGGAAGCATGTGCATACACCGGAGCGCACAGCTTCCTTCCAAGCAGGCAGAAGCTGGCAGCTGCGTTCTGAGTAGAGCACGCTGCTGGCTCGTACAAGCTATGGAACGGCTCGAAGTGCGCATTTCTCTCCTGTGCTGACATTTTACCAACATTTTGCCACTCCCGATGAAACGGTTCAGGATGTAGGGTTTTGGCTTTCAGGTTTATGGTTTAGGATTGAAGGTTTAGGCTAGGGCGGCTTGGGTTTAGACTTTAAGGGCCTGCTTCAAGTCAATCCTGGTACTGGTCGCCATCAACGTCCGGCACCCAGAACGGCGGCCTGACTCAGCAAGGGTGTTGTTTCTGCCTGATCCTGTGCAAGCACCTCGCAACCTACTTAAAGGACCATGGGACTTTGTAACTTGGATCAGAACTACGGCGTCTGCGCTTATGATTACTTAAAACCTCAATTGAGGCACTTACAGCCCTACTTACTAAGTCCTTATAAAGCCCTTATGGAAGCCTTCATAGAAACCCTGAGAGGGCCCTTAGGAACTCTTATAGAACCCTTTCTTACGAAGTCCCCTGATCCTCCAAGTAGCCTCTCTCCCTGAAGCTAAGCCTGCCGCAAGACCAGAGTCCTGCCGAGCCTTGGAGGGAGCCAGGTGATGCAATCAATGTATTATGATCTAAGACATAGCCTACAATACGCCCTGATGCAGTATCAAACAGTGTAGCACAATAGAAAAATGTGATGCAACAGTAAAATATGTAACACAACATGAAAAGAATACTATCTAATGCGACACACAACAATATACGCCACCATATGACATGACTGTCTGCGCGCTTTGCCAAGACACCTTTTTGAAAGCTTCAGCGCGGTTTGGAACCAAAGGAGGCGCTGGTCGCCGAGTCCGTTCCTGCGACCGGAACCGGACGTGGGGTTCAGGCTTCAGGATTTAGGGGTAGGGTTTTAGGGGTTTGGGTTTTAGGGTTTTAAGGTTTTTAGGGTTTGGAGTTTCGACTGTCAGAGTCTACCAGAGGTCAGTTTAGGGCGAAGGGTCTGGGTTCTTAAGGATTTAGGGGTAGGGTGTAGGATTTAGGGATTTGGGTTTGAGGGTTTAGGTGTCAGGGTTTCGGGTTTAAGGGCCCAGACCGAGCAAAATCCTCTATTAAGGAATATACCTTAAATCATAGTAGGATCCCCAAACTGATTTCAGGTCTATTCCTTAGTTAGGTGGTTTTGGGAGCCGCCCTGAGGGTCTGAGGGAGCCCTGAGGGTCTGAGGGAGCCCTGAGGGCCTGTAGTTGAAGCTGCAGAAGAGGTATCTTCTCGGTCGGCAGTCTTCTGCAGTGCACACCTCGGAAGACAACGCACATGGCCAGGCCTTAAAACACACGCGGGCCTCTGGCCGGGACGCCTCGGAATTGCCTTCCGCTGGCGTCGGGCTTCTCAGCACCATAAACCACAGGAGCCTCCATGCTTCATTATCTCTGCCTGGAAACTACTCCCTTAACGGCCCTCAACCCTCGACGGTGCAGGCGGCCTGTAGAAGACGCGGAGGAACCGCCATGACCCAGGCTGTTCAGCACGCATAAATGTTTTGTGTGACACATGGCAAGCACAAGCACGTACTGCGCCTGGATCAACGAGTGTAGAGCGACATACTGCTTCTACAAGACGTGGCTGTGTCTTGTCGTTCTAGCTCACGGTTTGTTGCAATTGTCTGGGCAGAGCCGATGCGACGGCAGGTGTTCAGCTCAATGCACTGTTCCACGGAGTCTGGGAGCATTCATGATCCCCGCCTCTCCGATGATGGAGCCGTCTTTCAACTTGCAAACATATCTACCTCCAGAGGTAACCTGCCAGCGTTCAGGGTTCAGGGTCCCATTGCAAGAGTCCTCTAAGCTCTGTCAGACGTCTCTTGCAACTCTGGGGAGCCTCCACCACACCTTTGAAGAGAACGTACCTCGGAGCAGAAGCCCTGAAGTGTCAATCAAGCGTCAAAGAGCTGCTAGATTGCAATCCTCGACTGCCAGGAAAGACATGAGAAGCACTGACGATGTGCCTTTAGTGCCAGCAATTTCCTCTCCGCAGCATGACGTGATATGACGTGCTAGTATTGGACCAGCCTTTGACGCTCGTCTTCCGACATCCCGTGCTCTGTTTGCAGGAAGTCCGCGAGCTCCTGCTTGTTATCTGCCACCTCGTTCAAGTCCGTGGCCCCCATCTCATCGCACCAAGTGTTTGCAGCTGCCATGTAGGGTTCAAGGTCCCGTGTGGTCATCCACAAATGAAGCCCCGGGATGGCCTCTGAGACTTCAGCCTTGCTGACTGGCGCACTCAGATCCTCCCATTCCTCTTCCTCCTGCTCTTCAACCGGCACGGCGGTGAAGCCGAGACTTCGCATGGGCGGCGGCAAAAAGACTTTGCCGCTTTCTGTTCGCCTGCTCCGACACCACAGCTTCGTGGCTCCAAGATCCGCAGCAGTGGAGATTAGCTTTCTAAGCAAGACCTCCTCGGCATAGAGGCCTTGGTCCATGCAGTCGTCGCCGAGGCAAACATCCACTAAGAGCTTTTGCTTCCGGCTGTTGTAGCACCAAATGGCCATGGCTGAGCCTTTCGTTGTGCCGAGCAGGCTGGTGCATTTCAAGTTCTTGAGCCGCTCCGCATCTGAGGGGACTGGATCCTCTGGCTTCCTTCCTAGTTCATTGTTGGGATAGGATTAAGAATGTACATTTTTATTCCTTATTGGGTTCCAGTACCCATAAAAATGAAAAGTGATACCCAACCATGACAAAGCTTCTTCGAAACTTCGAGGTTCGCTTGAACTGCTCCACCATGGCCTTGAAGCCAAGGACCGTCCCGTTCATGTTGGCCACATCGTTCAGGGTGGTGTTCACGCTGTAGCCCAGGTGGCGCCTTGCCTCGTTGGCCGTCTTCCACCGGTTCGCCAGGAAGAAGGCGCGAGGCAGATCCTCCGTGAGATCTAACTCCTGGAAATCACTGAGCTCTTCAGGGGAGGCTCTCAGGTCCTCACTGACCTCGATCTGATAATAAGGCCACCGCTCCAAAGGGGGCACCTTGGGGAGCGGCCTAAAGCCGTCTTCGTCCGTTCCATCCGAGAGGTTGAAATTCACCTGACCTCTCAACTCTAAGATCAGCCGCTCACGCTGGGCATCTGTGAGATGAGACGTGTCTTCTGGCATTTGTGCATAAGACACCCACTGGCCATCATCACCTCTGGATTCGTAGCCCCGAAGTGAGAAGCGATACGTGCCGACATCTTCCTCAGGCACCCACTCCGGGCTTTTGCTGTACTTGACCAAGATGTACTTCTTGCCATCCACCCATTTCTCGAGCTGGTCGGGGCGTGGAAACGTCTCACGGAAGAACTCGTCCTCTTCCTCTCCGTCCTCTCCGCTCCCCTCAAGGCTCTCGGGAAGCTCCGCCCTTTCGGTCTGCTGCGCTTCCGCTCGTGCCAGGACTCGATAGCTCCTGCTATGTCTCCCAGCGACGCTCTTCCACTTAGAGGCGCAGCACAAGGAGAGAACTGCAGGAAGGCCGAAACGCCAGTGTTGTCCCGTGAAGTTCGGGACGGCTCGCCAGGACTGAGAGGCTCGTGACAAGAACGATGAGTGCGGTATGGGAGGAGCATGGACGACAAGAGTGCCCTGCATTGCGCAAAACTCGGGCGAGATTCAAACCTCCCACCACCTTCCGCCTACCTGCATCACTGTCTATCCGCTGACATAACCACGCACTGCCGTCTGCAGAGAATCTAGTACTATCTATGTGCTACATGTCCACATACAAACGTACATCTGTCGTTGCAACGTCTCGGAGCAGTAAGTAAACGTTCCAAGATGGAGCTAAGGTGTCCAGAGCTTTACCGACAACACATCAGGCTTGACCCCACACGCCTACGGCTTCAAACACAGAGCCGAAGTGGCGGGTAACAGCATTATTTCAAGCACGTCGTTTATACATGCTCCTTGAAGTCCAGAGCCACTCGCAATCGGTAGACAAGCTGAAAATGAATGCATAGACTGGTTCATGGGCTGCGAAGCTGAGAACGGCACATCGAATCCCCCTTCATTCCTTCTTCCATGATGTACCGATTGACAGGATACTCCTCACAAGGGAAGCATGGCACAGCAGGAGGCAGAACTGCCCTTTTTCAAACAAGACGACTCAAATCCATACTCTGAGTGGTATTCGACCTTGAAACCCTACTATTTGGGTACTTGGACCCTTAGGGCTTAATGAGCAAGGCTCACTTTGTGCAAATGAAAGCCAAGCCACTCTTCGATTGCACGACACAATGAGATCGCGAATGAACCTGGGCATGCTCAAGAGCTTCCAAAACCTAAGGTTGATGATATAAATCCTGGGGTCCCTTTAAAGGGATCTATAAGGGTACCTTTAAGGGCTTCCGTTAAGGGATCTATAGGGTTTAGGGTTTAGGGTTGATGACAAAAAAATATGGGTAGTGTGGGATTTACATCATCAACCGTAGTATCAAAACAGCTGCAAAGACATGAAGTACCAGGGAGTGCCGCTAAACTGCAGCAAAACGGACCAACCTTGACTCTCGACTCCCTTGACCCAGAGATACCCAGAGAGCCCAATACCCCTCAATTAAGGAATATAGCTTAAATCATAGTATGAATCCGCTTATAATTTATGGAATATTCCTTAATTAGGGGTATTGGGCTCTCTGGGAACTTGCACAAAGGCTTCACAAAAGGCAACCGAGCCACTCTTCGTGTGTGTCGCGGAAGACTTTGCTTCTCGCTAGAAGCTCCTTGCAAGGGACCATCACAGCTCTTTCAGAATCACACGACGAATTTGAAGAAAGTGACACTGACCTGCTGCTGACTCCTGCATGGCTTTGGCGAAAAGTGGATCAATCTCTCGTTGTTCCGACACATATCGCTTGCCGACCTGTGGCCCAAGAGTGCATGCCCAAGTCTCCATCTCGAACGCTCGATTCACAGCAGCAAACTGCAAATCACGCATGTTGCTTGGTCATGCGGCATGCTGCGTGCACTGAGATTCCAGCCTGGACAAGCATGATAGCATTTGGAATCCAGAAACAGCTGCGAAACAACAATACAGAAAAAATGGCTTCCAAGGGTAATGAGAACAACGATTGC